AGGTGCAAACATTTCCTCTGCAGCAGAGTGCAGTGAAAGGCTTGTCGGTAGAGGGTGCTAGACAGGCACTGACTAGGAAGAGGAAGGGGCTTTTCTTTTGGGTTCTGTTACTTTTCTGTGACCTAGCTTCCTATGGGAGACATAGTCTGGTACAGGTTCTGGTGAGTTTCATTAACTATCTCCCAATAAGTTGCATCTAGACTGTGACACCAGCATGCTGAAGGAAGCTTGCTGAAAAATCTCAGTGAAAATGTTTTTTAAAGTAGTATTAAAAAATTTTGTTTTTCTTTTTTTTTGTGGGGGAGGGAAAGGGGGTAGATACCAGTAATGGGCACTCTGGGCCTTGAGCTCTTGCTCAGCTTTTTTGCTTTATGCTGGCACTACCACTTGAGCTAAACCTCTGCTTCTGTTTTTCTGGTGGTTAGTTGGAGATAAGAACCACATGGATTTTACTACCCTGGCTGGCTTTGAACTGTGATCCTCAGATCTCAGCCTCCTGATTAGCTAGGATTACAGGCATGAGCCACCAGTAGCTGGTTTCCTGTTTATTCAACCAGAGGCCTCTGCTCTATCAAACACTTCCCAGATGTCTAAGTTTCTTGGGAGTTGCACATGTTCAAGCAATTTCAAAACCCACTTCTTCTTTTTCCTTCATTAAATATTATTCAACAGAACTGAGTAGCACCCATGATGGGGAGACAGATTTCCTCAGCTGCCCTCCATGCACAGTCTTCCTGGGTTTGCCTTGCTTTTTAAAAATTGAATTTTTATTTCTTTCTGTATCCTGGACAGTCCTGAATCCTATACCATTTCCCAGGTCAACAGTGCCAATCCTAATGCATGTTTTCTATTTTGAGACTACCCATGGAGTTTTCTGTTCAGTTCCACAGGAAATTACCAAGCTCTTAACACTTGATATTCCTGAGACTCTGAATAGTCTTGCTTTTCCAGTCCACACAGAAGATATATATAACACCGTTCCTACAACCAGTTTAGGGGAAATAAAAAATTGCTAAAGATGTCAGTAAAAAAAAATGCCACAGTTTAATCTTATGTCTCTCTGGGCCAGACTATGAAAAATGTATTTTACCTATAACAGGAAAATATGAAAGTATGTTTTTGTGACAATATGCACTAATTGTCTGTCTACATCTTCACTTGAACCAAGTGAATCAGATCCTTCCATTGCACATGGTTCCAAACAAGGAGTGCCCAACCCTTCATTAAGCTGGAGAGAAAAGTCCATCAAGACCAGAATGAGCTTTTACTTGTTTATGTCACAAAATAGAAACCAGTGTTCAGTGGGCAGATGTATACATTTAGCCTAGGTGATAGTGGTGAGCAAAGGGGAAAGGCACAATTTAAGAAATATCTCCTCCCCATATCATAAAAATATCAGTCATCAGATGACCCCAAATCTGGGTCTCTTTATATATGCATTTTATACAACTTCAGTCAGTATGTGCCCTGGTTTCTCTTTCTAATTTCATGACTAGGATGGAAAGCTAACAACGCAGTATGTCATGGCTAATATGTCAGCCAAAGTAGTTCCGATGTTGCAGACAGAGTCCACTAGTCCAATAGTCATGTCATACATTTTCCTCAAAGATTGACAGAAGATCATAGAATCACTGGAGTCTGAAAAACCCAATATTGGATTCCCCATCTCTAGATCCATATGCTCTGGCTGAGTTTTGGAGTAATTTTATGTGGAATGGCAGAGGAAATTTCTTTGTGCGTTAGAGATGACAGGTTTGGGGGGTGGATTAGGAAAGTAGTGTGCCACTTTTACTAGCCATTAGGTCATTTGAACAGTTGTCAAAGAAATCCTCCCTCATACTTCAGAAATGGGGAACATTCAAGTCCTACTACCAATTGAGCTTAAATATTCCTATAGTAACACTATTGCTCTAAAAAAATAACTTGTTAGCCAAGCACTGATGGCTCATGCCTGTAATTCTAGCTGATCAGGAGGCTGAGATCTGAGCTTTGAAGCCAGCTCAGCAGGAGCCTGAAACTTCGTTTACATTTTGCTCTTTGCTTTCATGTTGGTTGGCTCATAAAACATCAGTTCTCAGCCAGAGTAACTCTCTCAAACCTTTAGGGCATCAAGTTCCTTTTCTTAGCTGATTCCTCAAAGATAGGGACTGTTCAATCTCTGTACAAGCTGCATTACTGTCATGATGTTAAATTATTATTATTATTATTTTTTTTTTTTTTGGTTTTTTTTTTTTTGTCGGTCGTGGGGCTTGAACTCTGGGCCTGGGCGCTGTCCCTCAGCTCTTCAGCTCAAGGCTAGCGCTCTACCACTTGAGCTACAGCGCCACTTCCGGTTTTCTGGTGGTTTATTGGAGATAGGAGTCTCACGGTCTCTCCTGCCCGGGCTGGCTTTGAACCGCGATCCTCAGATCTCAGCCTCCTGAGTAGCTAGGATTACAGGCCTGAGCCACCAGCGCCCGGCTAAATTATTATTTTTTAAGCAGGAGATGGGAGAGTAATTTACAGAAAGTGATGGAAGCTGGGAGGATGCTTAGATGACCTAGGTTTATCAATCTTTTCTTGGCTCAGCATCGCTAGTCTCTACGTACCTAGATGGCAGTTTGGTTTGATTTTAGTTACTAGTGGTGGATTTTTTTTCTTTTGTTTTCTTTCTTTTTTCTTTTTCTTTTTGTCAGTTATGGGGCTTGATCTTGGGACCTAGGCGCTGTTCTTGAGCTCTTCTGCTCAAGGCTAGAGCTCTACCACTTTGGTGCCACAGCATTACTTCTGGTTTTCTGGTGGTTAATTGGAGATGAGAGTCTCATGGACTGTCCTGCCTGGGGTAGCTTTGAACTGCAGTCCTAGGTAGCCAGGATTACAGACGTGAGCCACAGGCACCCAGTTTCAGTTGATTCTTTATGTCTTACAAATTTGGGAGGGGTCAAGAAAGATGAATGAAGTCAAGTGGTGGGAGCTAGTGAGGGGATGACCTCAAGACTCCATGTGTGAGATGTGAGAATTCCAAAGCAAGAAGGAGAGTACTTACATTTCCAGGGCTTCCAGGGGCAGAAATCTGTTACGAGCAGGACTGGAGGCTGCAGTGGGTGCTCATGGAGTCTGCACTGTTACATTCATTTCACATAATTAGTGGCAAACCAGGCTAAGAGAATTCACTGAACCTTAGAACAGATGGTGCCTGGCTAACAGGATGTCCCTTGTCCTGTTTATTCAAGAACAAACCATGTCTTTAAAAACACTAAAGTCATAGCTCACAATCTTCACTGGTCTCTGGGAAGGAGAATGGTTGCTCTGAACCAGTGTTTTTCAAACCTGGTTTAGGACTCTTGATGTTGGGACCTCTGATGCTTGACCCATACCTTTTAGTGGCATGTCATAGAATGTGCAAAGTGCTTCTTGTACAGTTTTGTGAATGGATTTTGTTTCCGCTGTATGCGTAAGGGTATAAATGTGCTGAGTTAAAATGAGAAATGTAGATGAAGCTCAAAAAAAAAAAATAGAAAAATGCCACTTAGAAGGAAAAGGATGGATTAATTGTGGTATGGAATTAGGAGAGTGAATCCATGCTTCCCAGTTGTTTGTTTCTGCTGTGGTAGGCCTGAACTGTTTACTCTCTGACAGGTGGCTCCGGAGCATGTGTGTGTACACATGTGTGAGTACATGCACACACATGTGGGATCTACATGTGCTGTGCTAAGTGACAGAGTACTCCCTTCTAAGAAGTCAGCATACGCCCTGATGCAGTAGATCATTTCCCCATATCAGTGATCTTGAGAGGCAGAGATACAGCCTTTTGATATTGACATAACATGATCACAAATGCCTTAAATTTTGTTTCCAGTTCATAAATTTTGTTTTCAGGCAGAAGCTAGTCAGCTCAACAATAATAGCCTAAGTCCCATGATCTGTGTTGTAAAACAAAAGGATCCGAGTTAAGCACTGGGCTTGGTGCCTGAGGGGGCAAATTTCTAGGGTCTATTTCCTTACCAGAAACCTCAGTAGTCACCCATATTGCTTGATGTTTCCAAACCCCATGAACAAAAAAGTGTCTTCCTTAGCTTTTCTTTTAGCTTTTGAAGTCTCATGTCCGGTGGTAGGGGCAGAAAACCACGCAGCTGAGCAAAAGCCCTTTTGTAGAAAGAGGAGGCTCAGAAACGTGGGGAGGTGTCATCAGCTTGTGCAGCATTTATTAATATCTGGAAGGTAGGGAGAGGGACAGAGGTGTGAAGTGTCTGCCATCATCTTCATTGGAAGCCTGCCTGGCAGCCTGTGAGTCTGGCTTGTTCATGCTCTCCAGGGCTGAGGACTGGGTTCCATTGCCTCCAGCTCAAAACATCTCCTCTCAGTGGCAGCTGATGCACCCGTCAGCTTTTTGTGTATACACACTGCTGGCCACGGAAGGAACAGCCCACTCCACCCCTCCGCATTGCCAGCAATCCAAAGCCATATGTTCCTCACACTTCGTACGGAGTGTTGGGCACCTCATGACAATCAGCCTGGAAATGAATGCACAAGAGGCACGTGACAGGCAGATGGCTGCAAGACTGGCTTAAGGGAGAACTCAATGGGATGTTTCTAAGTTTGAAACTGTGGGGGAGTGCCTGCCACTTTTTATTTATTTACTTATTGATTGATTTGGGGCCAGTACTGGAGCTTGAACTCAGGGTCCGGGTGTTGCCCTTTAGCTTTTTCACTCAAGGCTGGCACTCTAACGTTTGGGCCACAGTTCCATTTTCAGCTTTTTGCTGGTTAATTGGAAGTAAGAGACTGATGGACTTTTCTGCCTAGATTAGCTTTGAACTGTGGTCCTCAGATCTCAGTCTTCTGAGTAGCCTACCAGTTCTTCAGTAGATCTGACAGGCCATTTCCAGATTTAAAGTAGCCCAAGCTTTACAAGCCCAAGCTGACACAAGGCTAAAGTGTTGGGACTTTGTCATACATGTCCTCTGTCACTGTTAGGAGGTGGCTTATGTTAGGGATTACTAAGTCCTCCAAACCTGACATTCTGAGACTTGTGGTCTATTCAGCAGTAAGATACAAGGTCTATATTTTGAGCTGACTGAAAGAAATGACTGTACAGCCTCTTTCATCACAAATATAATGCCCTGGGAGGGGATACAGCAGCAAACCAGACAGACAGGGACGGTCTCCAGAGCCCCAAGCCCCAGAACAATGCTGGACACAGAGTGGGCATGTAATATCCATTGAGAAAATCCACAGATGGTGACTGGGCTGGCCCAGTCTAAGACAATGCTTTGGGTCTCTGAAATCACAGACTCTGTCTCACCTGTTAGCAATGGTATTTCATTTTTCTTGGACAATGTCATACTTGAATTTGATTCATACACTAAAAATTATGGACCCTTATAAATAGCTTCATTTTCTCTCTGGATACCTTTTACTGGCCAAATCTTCACACTGCAGATCTGTTAAGCCACAGTGCATTGCGATACCCAGCTTGCCCGCAAAGACTTACTAAAATAAAATAGAATTGTCCTATTCATGTTGTAAAAACAAGAAAAATTATGATATCGTTTTGCAAGCAGAATACTGTTGAATGTAATGTAATGTCAACTTAGCTCAATTCCTCAGCTGCCCAATCACTTTGAACTTCCAAATTGTTCTTTGCCTTCCATCCTAAATAGGGCAATGCAATTTTAAGGGAATACTTCAATTCCAAATATGAGCTAACACTTCTCAGTTTTTATCCATACTTATTGTATCACACGTAAGAAGTCTCCATGCCAAAAGAAGATACGGAACAGTACCATGAAAGAGAGTATACAAGATAGCTAAGGAGCTTGTCCATCATATCTTACTATCATCATTCTTGGTGGCTGAATGCTAATCAGTTTAATGCCTTCAAGCAAACATAAGCTTAAATGCTATTAAAAGTCTTTACATGACATTTGCTAGCCACTTAGATCAAGTTTACATTGAGAAGGAAGCCTACTTATACGAGTAATGGTAATAGAAATGGTCTTGGGAAAAGCTACTTAACGTCTTTGAAGGTTTTTTTTTTTTTTGTCTATTTTCTAAGTGGGCATTTTAGAAGCATTGGACCAAAGCACCTTAAAACATGTTCCTTATTAATAGAAGCGTTAACTAGCATGGATGTTACTTGGATGTTTAGGGGACTGCCTGGATGTGTGTTTATGGGGAGACTGAGGCAGGTGAGGGTCAGGATTTGGGCCGCCTGCCTCTGAACATCATTCTTTAGAAGCTATCCTAAAGCTAGATGGGGATGGTGGGAAGGCAGTATCTACAGGACCAGCAAACCTGTTGGAAATGTAGACACTCTACCCTAGCCTCACCAAGTCACGTTCCGTATTCAAACCAGATCCCTGCATCCCTGCATATTCTGTATTAATATTAAAGTTTGGGGTGGGGAGGCTCTATGTTAGGGTTCCAAAGCCCCTGATTGTTCGTGGCTCTTGGGTTGTTCCTTGCTTCTTACATCATCCCAGAGAGGGGACAGCATCTCCCCTGCCATTGGTACCTTTTCTTTCTTTTCACTCCCACCCCCATTCCCCAGACCCAAAGGAATTTCTCAACATCTGATGTCACTTTTATCAAGAGCCCTGTGCAGGGCTCTGGCCTTATCCGGCTTTCTGCTGATGGGTAAGCTTGGCAGGGACTCCCAGGCTGGAGGTTCTTTCTGCTTCCCTGTAGCCTTCCCCCATTCCTTCACTGAGGCTGCCCTGAAAGCCACCCTTCTAAGTCATCCATCAAAATGTAATTCCCTTCCCATTGGACATCCCTCCCATGCGGGAGGAGGGACTTCTCAGTTCCTGTTTCTCTCATAAAAATCCTGCCCCCTCTAACTTCATTATCAGTGTCTCTGCTAGTATTTCAGAGGATACTGATAGGGAAAAGGCGGTCATGCCAAATGTTTTGGGGCTGTCAGCCAAGGTTTACTCAGTAGGGGGGGTGGTATGGCAGACCCCTGAACATACTTCATCTGGCCCTGCCTTTCATTCAGAGGCTCAGCCTGTAGCAGGTGCTGGATGCACCTGGCATCCTCACCCACACCCAGACTGGCCAGCCACTTGACCCCTTGAAGCTATGTGGTCCTCCGTTCCAAACTGTGCCAGGGTAAAGAGCTCTGCGGGAAAAGTGGGCTGGATACTTAGAAGCGCACTGCTTACGAATTCAGGCTCTGTGGGCTGGGAGTTAGCACAGCCAAGGTTAAGAGAACATTTGTGGGGGGGGGGGTCAATGAGTTGAGGACCCCTCCAGGCTCCTCTGGAGTGCCTAGCACCCAGGGCAGAGATCTCTAATCAGAGGAGACAGGCAAGGGGAGGAACAGGATTGCTTTCTGGCCATAGTGAGTCCGAGGACCACGCTTGCAGCTTCCATTCTTTTTGAGGCCGACAAACCAATTCTTTTCAGCATGTTTCTTGGCTATGTAGGTGTTATAATGATTTTCTTCCAGCCTCTCCAGGAACAAGCATTCTTCATCAGGTGTCTGCTAAAAAGATCAATCCAAAAGAGGGTAGAACAATCAGTGAGTGGTTCTAAAGCTTCCTTCTCCCTTCACTAGCTAGCTATGACTGTGGGCAAATTACTACAAGTGCTCTGGGCCTGGGTTTCTTCTTCAGGCAAATAGGGATGAGGGAATTTATCTCACAGAGTGGGCAGGAGGAGTTTGAAAGGTACCCAGAACATAATGAGCCTGCAGAATGCACCTGCTGTGACTGTGAGCAGTCCTGCCTTTACTGTTCTCAGGACTCTGGGATGTCTGCTGGGAGAGTCTGCTGGACTGTAAGCACTCAGGGTAGATGGACTGTTCATCTCTTTGGAGCCCTGGCCTACAGCAGTCCACAGAATAACATTCCAGACAGGTAATCCAGGTGGTGGTGGTACAGTCTAAGAGGAAAGGTGTCTCAAGTTTGGATTTGAAGAAGAAATAAAAACCTATGAAAATTCCTTTCCACCCTGCTGATTTTCATTCAAAATATCCATTTTACTTTAATATAGCTATAAACATGAATACTTGTGCAAAGTTCATACTAAGACATATCCTAGAACTAAAATAACTTTTCAAATGAAAATAACTTTTTTTGTTTCTTAGAAAAAGAATTAGGCTGGGCATGATGATGCATTTATGTAATCTTAGCACTCCAGAGACTAAGGAGGGAGGATTTTGAGATCAAGGCCAACCCGAGCTGCAAAGGCAGATTTTGTCTAAAAAAAAATCATTAAAGAAGAAAACATAAAACCAAATAAAACTCAGAACCCACCATCTAAATATAGTCAACTATACTTTCTTCCTCCACTTCCTCTTCCTCTTTGAAGTCTTCTTTTGAGGTGCTGGGGATCAAACCTAGGGCCTTGCATGTGCTGGACAATCATTAGGTGACTGTTAACAGTTGTTGAACACTGCCTTCCCCTCATCTTTTTATGTACATGTACAGTAGATAAGGTTCTATGGATATGATTCCTAATATTATCAAAGTGGTATGGTGTATCTGCTCTTTTAATATTGGACAACCAACTTAAAAGACATACCCAATATTACTACCAAGAAAAATGCAAGTTAAAGAATTGTGTATTATGTGTTGACTATCATATCTTTCAAGATCAAAAAGAATTACAAGTCTGAGCCTCATGAGGACTCTTCTGTGCACTGTGGCTGAGATGTGGTAGAAACTCTCTGAGGGCAGTGTATGCATTTGTACCAAGATTTAAAACATGCCTCATCTTTGACCAAGTAAGTTCACTTCCAGGGTGTTACCCTTAGGACAAACTAGGAGCTAGATGAACCAGTGTAAATTCATGACAACTAATGGGAAGCAAGCTCTCTGCTGTAGCAAGGTGGCAGGTGGTGTGGACAAAGGATAATCCTTTTGTAGATTAAGCATAGCTGCAGGTCTATTAAGCTGACAACAGCCAGAACATTAAATAGTGCAGTCGTACCTACCAATCGGTAGTTTCCATATAGTTCACTTATCAGAGAATAGGGGAACTTGCTGTTTGTCCTGATTTTAGAATACATGTTCTGTATTATATATTATATATTAGTCTTCCTGTGATTTACTACATTTGACTGTGACTTTTTCAAGGCGCACGATCTCTATCATATCCCCAACCCCACACATGGCAGCAATGCCTTTTCCTGTGGTTTTCAGTCCTGGTGCTCAGAATTCTCATTCACATGAACCTGTTTATCCCATTAGGCTCTAAGTCCTACTGGAGTAAAAAAGAGATGGAATCATGGCGGCCTTACATTTACTCCTACAGAGCCTCACCAAGGTAAGTGCAAAGGAGTGAGTCCATTTGATTCTTTTGGTTGTTGTTTTGCTGGGGATGGAAGCAGGCTTCTGCTAGGCCAGAACTCTGCCCTAAACTTTTAGTTTTGTTAGTAAGAAACTCTGCAGCCGGAAGTCTCCTGCCTATTCATTTACAGTGAAGGGAAATGACACCTGGGTGAGACACTTCAGATCCTTGCTTGCAGAAGGAGATGGGATATAAATATACTATTAAATTGGATGAGTCTGCTGCGTCAGGAGGAAGTCAGACCAGACACGAATAGTCCACACACGCACGTTGTCAGGGTGGAAGGAGGGGGCTGGACTGTGTGGGTTGCTAGTCCCCTGTAGGGAGCTCACCCACAACACTCCCCCGTGGGCATCAGGCCTGCGTCCAGTGACGAAGGTGAGGACAGTCACAGTCCCCACCTGGTGTCTCTGTCACACCGCAGCAGCTGACACACAAGGTGGCTGAGTCATGGCTGAGTCGGCTAGCCAGCTCAGAGGTCCTTCAGCCAGGATTTGTCAGCACTTACTATGTGCTTGCTGCAGTGCTGTGGGCCTGGGCATCAGCTGTTGATTCAGCCTAGTGTAGCTGTTTTCTTTCTTATATTTAGTATGCTTTCTTTCAGTTACATAGGGGACATGTACTCACTGGAGAAAATCTACTTCCCCAGAGATAACTGTATTCATATTTTTATACAGACTTTCAATATTTCTCTTTCTTTCCTTCTTTCTTCCCTCCCTCCCACCCTCCCTCCCTCTCTCCCTTCTTTCCTTCCTTCCTTCCTTCCTTCTTCCTGTTTTTTTTTGGGGGGGGGGTTGAATTCAGAGCTTGCTTAGCTGGTAATCTACTCCTTGAGCTATGCCTTCTGCTCAGCTTTTTGCTGATTATTTTGGAGCCAGAGTCTCACAAACTTTTCTGCCCAGGTTGATGTCAAACCTTGATCGCCCAGATCTCAACCTTCTGAGTAGCTAGGATTATAGGCATAAAGCATTAATGGCTGGCCTCAACTTCTTTTTTATTTTTTTCTATTTGGCCTCAACTTTTTAATTAATTAATTAATAACATGCTTTATAGCTGGGCACTAGTGACTCATACCTGTTATCTTAGTTACTTGGGAGGCTGAGAATGAGAGGATTGTAGTTTGAGGTTAGGGCAGACAGTAAAGTTTGCAAGACTCCTTCTCAATCCTTAGCTAGGCTCAGAGGCTCACACCTGTCATTGTAACTTTATGGGAGACTGATAGGGAGAGAATCATGACTCCAGGTCAGCCCAGGCAGAAAAGTACCTCAGACATCATGTCAAGGGAAAGAAGTTGGGTATGGTGATGATTCTTGTCATCTCATCTGGTGCAGAAAGCAATCTAAGTGCATGCCTGGGCAGGAAGGAAGATCCTACCTTAAAAATAAACAGTATAAAAAAGACCTGGAGACATGGCTCAGCAGTAGACCCTAGCAAGTATGAGACCCTGGGTTAAAAACCCACGTACTACCAAAATGAAAACAAAAATCTCCTTTCCATATATCCTTTTCAAAGATTGTTAGACATAATATATTAAGATCACATTTTGGGTAAACGGCAATGGTGGCTGGGACTGTAGTGAGAAAGACTCCCTGGAGCCTTAAGGAAACGGCTTGGGGAGTTCAGCTTGAATATTTTCATGTAATTGTACGATCAGGTTAGGGTGAACCTTAGAATTGATTTTAAGGGAGAAAAGAGCTACCCAGGAAAATCCAGGGGTTCTAAGCAACTGGTTGGTCTTAGAGCCACCATCCCTGCAGCCTCTGGTGCACCAGACAGTGCTCCTGGCAAGCCCTGTGGGAGGCCATCACTGCCCATTGTATCCACATAGGTAGAGCTCCAAGTGGCGAGGGCCTTGCCAAAATGACAGCAGTATGAGATGCAGCTGCCAGTTTAAGACCGAATGACGGATGGGTTGGTTATTGGTTGATTTACGGACCACTTGGAAGAACTGCCTTAAAAAACCCCTCTGTTTTCTACTTAGCAGTCACTGCTCCAAGCCCCTTAAAGTCCCTGGCACTGGCAATATGAGAGGACTCTGCTGATTCCATCTCCTGACCCCTAGTGTTCAGTAGGTGGAACTGAACTGTGTTCCATCTAGGATTTCCCAGGCTGCCTTGTCCCTCGGCCATTGATCCAAGTGATACCTTTTGAGACTTCTCCATAAAAGGAGAGAAGGGGACAGTTTGGATTGGGTCATGAACTTCATCCTAAGCCTGTTATCAGCTGTTAGGATACAGAGAAGGGATCACTGGAATCCAGAAATAATTGTTAGTCCTGCATTTGTTGATTTCTACCCTCTCTCTAGTTAAATCTAGTCCTGGGGTTTGAACTGAAGGCTTTGTGTCTGCTAGGCAAACATTACCACTTGAGCCATACTGCCATCCCATTTTGTGTAGTTACTCCTTCCTATGTTTTCTGCGTAGCTAGGATCATAGGCATACATGACCATCTTATTGATTGAGATGGGTGGGGGGAGTCTTACTTTTTTCCCCAGCTAGCCTTGAGCCATGATCCCCTCCCCCTTCCTTTCACTTCTACCTCCTGAGTGGCTGGGATTACAGGCATGAGCCACCTTGTCTGGCCCTCCCGCATTAAATCTGTTAGTAGAAATAGCAAGGGGGCAAAATCAGACTTCCTCTTTTTCTGGTCTTTTCTTACAAAGGTTAAGATATACTGAGTCAAACCTAAATAAAGCACTGACATGGAGAAAGACTGAGCAGGCAATGTGGAGAGCTTTTGCTCCTGAGGAAACAATGAAATACTTCTCATTAGGGCTCATTATATCCCTTCTAGTACCTAAAACAGTGCTTAGATGCAGGAAATATTTGATGCATGTTGAATTTGGTGGGTAAACTTTTTTATCTTTTTAAAGCGATCCAAGTCCTCCCAGAATAGAAGGGATTATTTTCAAACTTTTTTTGCCTAGCATATAAACTATTTGACTCCAAGACTCTTGCAATTTTTATGAAAAGGATCAAAGCACACATGTAGTAGTTTCGAGAAGGATTTGGAATGAATGAAGATTAGGTATTCTGAAATGAGGGCCCAATGAAGTATCAAAACATCAATCAATGTTTCCTCTCTGTCTCCAAGATAATATGCTCTGAGTATTTCCAGAGAGTACCCCAAGAAACTCTTTTATGTTCATGCTGAAAATAAGGCAAAGAAAATAAGGTAGGAATCCTACTGGAAAAAATAACAAACAGAGACTAATTGATGGTTTGTAGTTTGCATCATTCAGTGTAACAAGATTTCTGGAAACCTCAAACTTTGGCTCTGTCTGGAGGCAGGTCGGTTCATACTTACTGAGCCGTATAAAAGCCCGTCGGCATCCATGGCCAAGTACTGGCCAGTCTCGGTGCTCTTTATATAGACCTCCCCCACGCTTTCCGCACTCAGTTGCAGCTGAACTGGAATAAAAATAACACAGGCAAAAGTAAATAAACACCACGCTTTTACTGATAGAGTCCAGCAGCCACGACAGTTGGCCATGGAAAATTCTGCTCATTCGTTTCACACAGCTTCAGGATGAGCCTCCAATGAATCAAAACATAGAAAATAGAGTCTCTTTTTCTTTGCCCTCCAAAGAAAGCTGTCCAAGAGGAATTATGTTCCTGAGAGGAGAAGAAACTCTGACTGTCTCATCCATCTGTCCATCCTGTTTATTACAAAGCCACCCCTTGTGTGCCTGCCCAGGATCTCTCCCCCCGCCCCTCTTTGCTGGGGAAAAATAATCATGGGAGGAAGTATCCCTCATTTCCTTGGCTGTGTCAGCCCCAGCCATCTTAGGGTGCTGTGGAGCAGGCAGCTGGCCAGTTTGCTGTATGTTCTACTTAGTGTTTGGCTTGCTCTGTGCATCGGGGAAGACACCGTGTGGCCTGTGCCTTCTAGACATGGGAGAGACTTACTGACAGATTGCTGTTCTTTAAAATCTGAGATTGTCCCAGACAGAAGTTCTTGGGGACCTAGATTACTGTCTATGAGATGGAGAGAATTTACCCACAAGGCAGTTCCGTGAATGTCCAACCTCTGGTCCAGACAGCACTGTATTACCAGGTTTCCTGGACAGGCAACTATGAATTGTTCTCAACCAGAGGCCACCTTGTCCCCAGGGAACATCTGGCAATGTCTGGGAACAGTTTGGGTTGTCACAACTGGTCAGTAGTGGAGGGTACTACTGGCATCTAGTGGACAGAGTCCAGGGCTGCTGCAGAATGCCCCATAATGCATGGAGCAGCCCCTCAACAAAGAAGCATTCATTCCAAGGAGTCTGCCATCTAGGTTGAGAAACCTGGAGACTGATGGCAAGAACTGTGAGCTCCACTGGGCCCAAGCCTAACATTTGCATGGTTGATACTCCCAGGATGCTTTGCCCAGTGCTGGATGCATAACTAGGTCAAGCTTCAGTTGATAGTTATCCTTTTTCCGCATTCATCCTCTGGAGGGAGGTGATTGATGGAATCAGGATTAATTCTGGACTCTTCTAGACAGTTTGTTTTGTCATGGATGGTCATAACCACCAATAGAATTAGAAGTGAAATCTAGATGGGGAACATAGGCAATGTCTAAGGTACTGGGAAGACAGGAGACTTCTTTGCTTTTCTGGAGTCAGCTTACCAAAGGCAAAGGGGCCTGGTGGGCAGGATCACAGGGCTTTGGTTGGCAGGTCTACATCACTCATGGCCATCTTCTTTCTCCCCCGTCTCCTCCTCTTTCCTTTTTTCTCTCTCATTAGAACTTGAACCCAGAGCTTCTTGCTTGCTATACAGATGCTACACTGCCGAGCCTTGCCTTAAGCTCTGAATGTCATTTCTTAGAACAGGAAATCCACGTGCATGTTTCAGACTTGGAAACAGTATGGAGAGCAAAATGTCTTCCTCTCCTGCTCCCATTCTTACTATTTGGCAGATTGATATTGAACATCAGGAGCAGATAAGATACTGTCCCTTCCTCTCTCCCCCTCCCCGCCAGACACATTTGTCCTTGAGAAGGATGGGCAGAACAGGAGCAAACAGGAGCCCATCAGGATACATTTTATGTGGATCTTTCTAGAGAGCTTTTATGCATATGTGGCCAAATACACACCATCCCTCCTCTTTTATACCCATGATGGGGTATTCCAATGATATACCAATGACAGGAAATGCGGTTCAAATGGTTCAATGGTAGAACATCCACCTAACAAGCATGAGGTCCTAAGTTCAAACCCAAGTTCTTCCCCTCCCCCCCAAAGAGATATACCAATAATAACCTGCTATTCAAATAGTTCTACATCTTGATTTTTAGTTTTTAGTTTTAGTTTTGTCCCAAGAACTATTTACACCAGTTAAATTGTGTTGCATTATCTGGTTATGCCACAACCATTTAATCACTTCCTCCTAGACATGCCAGTGTTCTCAGTCTCATTTCCCTTTGTCTCCTCATTGTCTGATTATTCCCGTAGGTGAGACATAGTTCCATCACCCTTGTGAAGGCCCACTGCTCTGGTCCTCGGAAATCTTCTGTAGAGACACAGGACCTCTTTAACTTCCTGTAGTAAGTGGAATTTGTTGACTTTATAAGAAGGTAGGAAGCTGCTCATCTCTTTTCTGACTGGTCTCTCCATCTTCACTTAGCTCTGAGAGTATGGTCATGAGAGAACTGCTGGCAGAGTATCCATCAGGAGCTGAGTTCTGCCCTTTCCAGCCTCAATCACACCAATCAAATCACACCACTTACCTACTCTATTCTACCTGTTTTAGCTCTTCAACACACATCAAACTCTGCCCCAGGATCGTTGCACATGCTATGTCCTCTGGCACCTTCTTCCTCCAGATATTCACCAGGTTGGTTCTCTTCCTCCTCTAGGCCTCAGCCTGGATATCAGTGCTTGTGATCCCCCTTCCCCACCACTGCCCCTGCCAACTCCCTGCCTGTTCCTTGCATCTCTCTCTTTCTCGGCCCCTTGCTTGTTTTTCCTATGGCATTCAACATACAACGGTTTTATTCTTTAGAGGTTTACTCACTTATGATTTTTGTCCCTAGGAAGCAGAGAGGAGAGCAAGGACAGGGATCTTTGTCTGTTCTGTTTCCCCCTGACTGCGGCTCCTCACACAGTGCCCTGCACAAAGGGGCCAGGCCGTATTTGGATAAATGTTAGATGTCAGTGTTTGTTGGGTGATGTTAGGCTAATATTGGCAGAGATGATTCTCTTGGTATTCATCAGTAAGCTGTTCTCTCTCAATCATGTTTCCATTAGTGATCTGTGGCACAGAATAAGATGGGACTCAAGTGGGAACTGTAAACTTTAGACTGAGCCAGGCAACCTTGGCCAGACTGCTTAATCTCTCAGCCACAGGCTCTTCGTTGGTACAAGGGGAGGTAATGGCTTCTTTCTCCATCAGTTCTTTCCTGACCCAATAGCTTCTGAAATGAGATACACTGAACAGCAAGGCTACATGCCCAGAATCGTGTTTTCTGCAGTGCTGTCACATGGATAAACTTTAATATGTGAGCTGAAGGCTCACATATTTCATGATTCCACTTGCCTGAAAGGTATAAAATAAGCAAATCTCTAAATATAGCAAGTAGATAGCCAGGCTGGGTGGAAAGGAGGTGGCAGAATTGTGATAGAGAGGTGTGGGGTTTCTTTTGGAAAGTAGTCTATAATTGATTATAGAAAGAAACAGTTGTACAACCCTGTTAAGAAAAGTTGTAGTGGGCACCGGGTGGCTCAAACCTGTAATCCTAGCTACTCAAGAGGCTGCAATATGAGGACTGTGGTTCAAAGCCTGCATAAACAAGAAAGCCTGTGAGGGCTGGGAAGGTGTCTCAGTGGTAGAGCACTTGTCTTGCATGCATGAGGCCCTGGGTTCGATTCCTCAGCACCACATAAGCAAAAAGAAAAAAGCCAGAAGTGGCGCTGTGGCTCAAGTGGTAGAGTGCTAGCCTTGAGCTGAAGAGCTGAGGGACAGCGCCCAGGCCCAGAGTTCAGACCCCACGACCGGACCCTCCCCACAAAAAAAAGAAAGCCTGTGAAACTCTTTATCTCCAATGACCACCAGAAAACAGAAGTAGTGCTGTGTCTCAAAGTGGTAGAGCGCTAGTCTTGAGTGAAGAAGCTCAGGAACAATGCCCAGGCCCTGAGTTCAAGCCCTAGGACTGACAAAAAAAAAGTTGTGAGGGGAGTGGAGGAATGTTCAAATGGTAGAGTACCAGCTTTGAGCAAAAAAAAAAAGCTAAGCAAGAGCCCAAAGCCCTGAGTTCAAGTTCCAGTACCAACACAAAAAAGAAAGAGAAAGAGGAGGGAAGAAAGGAAATAAAAAAGAAAAGCTGTGAGGACACCCCCCCCCCCCCAAGTAGATCACATACTTTATTTTTATTTTTATTTTTTTGGGTCCAGTCGTGGGGCCTGAACTCTGGGCCTGGGTGCTGTCCCTCAGCTCTTCAGCTCAAGGTTAGCGCTCTACCACTTGAGCCACAGCACCACTTCCAGCTTTTTTCTTTTTGCTTATGTGGTGCTGAGGAATTGAACCCAGGGCCTCAGGCATGCAAGGCAAGCGCTCTACTACTGAGCCACCTTCCCAGCCCGATCACATACTTTAAATGGGTGAATCATATTGTGCATGAATTCTTTCTCAATAAAGCTGTTTTAAATGTCTTGCATTTTTATTGGACTTAAGGGATTTTTTGAGAACTTTCATATATATATATATATCAAGTGTAATTCTCTATTTAGATGTGACCAAAGGAAGAGAGAAACCATTTACTGATCACTTACATGTTCCTAGCATCATGCTGATTTCTGCCTTGGTATAAAAGAAGTTAATTTTAAAAAGCAGGAATGAACAATTTTACCTGTATATTAGCTGCATAATCGTAGAGCAAGTTATCCACCCTTCATTTCCTTTTCAATAAAAATAATAGTTGGAGGATTAAAAGAAAATGACTAGTGGCCAGTGCAATCCTGTCATTTTCTTTGTGCAAATGGGACCTTGTCTGCTCTTCACCAAGTCCCCTGCACAGGTGGCACCAGCTCCAAGCTATAGGGGAGGAACTAAAATTTGGTGAAAACTTGTTTTAGTCAAATCAGAATAATCCTGACCCAAGCCAAGGGTGAGTTCTCTCAGTACCTTCTCTTTTCTTTCCTATACATGACCTCTTGGGCTCTAGTTATGGGATAGATTGGCCCAAAGCCATACTCTCCTACTTAGAAACTAGATGTGTTCAAGATGGTGGGCGGTCCTCCAGGATCCCATTTGAAGCCATGGAACAAGTGAGGTTAGTGCCTGGGATTTTTCCTCCCACCTACTGTAGTCCCATATAGGCATTTAGTCAAATGTGTTCTGAGTACCACAGAAATATAATGGACAGGTCCTTTTAGGTAGAGAAGGAAGATGTTTTTGGAAAGCTTTTGGTCTCCTGGTTCATT